CCTAAGCCTCGATACGTTGATAGCCGAACTTCGGCTTACTCAATTGCCTATGTCTGTCCTTTGTCCTTTTAGACAGTCCATATACCTGGTCCATCATGAAAACAGGTAAGATTACTTATTTTTTTACATGGTCGTTAGTCTAAGGTTGCTCTCTCTGCTTGTGCACCAGTGTGTTACTCTCTGACATTGTGCATTGAACTCCTCCGCCCTGTTTGCTTGCCTCATTGTTAAAGATCATATTTTGCCCTTTAGAGAGTCAGACAAAATAGGGCATCACAGAAACGAGTAAGAATGCATGCTTTCTCTGTTAGTATTTGCCTGATAGTTTGGGATTCTTTTGTGCATCTGTACATTTATCTCTTCTTCACCTCTATGGCCATCTAGTCGATTAGCTATCTAGCCTCGCTCTGGACCCGGTGGAAACTCGTTTGTGGATTAAATGGCTTCCCAAATGATTTGTTCAGTATGGTTGGTTTTTTAGTTAAGTAACTAATTTTTTACCTTTTTCTCATCCTTGTCAAGGCTTTATCTTTTACAAACTGCTCTCCAATCCATCCACTTCCCTTTAGGAGTGATATAGATGCTGAATTGCCAAAAGAAAAGTAGCAGATGGGACAGGAAATAGTAGTCTTGTAATTACAAAGAATTATCTAGAGGAGAAAAGAAGAGAAAGAATAAGGACGTTAAAGGAATGAAGAGTGATGAAAAGCGGCAGGGAAGATGGAGACAAATCGTGGCTTAGGTCACCAAAATTAGGAGAAAACAGTGCCGCCATCAACAGTCAAACCCGACTGGAAACATAGCTATCCAGACACCTATATGGGAAGAATGACTATGGTATGACATCGTAAGTCACGAAACCTGGAAAGTAAAATTTCCTGTATGTGTGGAGTTGCGTTAAGGCGTAATTCTTGGATCCGATTTCCTACGTAGCATTATAGCAGTCCTGAAAGTTGCAAAAGTCGGTTTTTCTTCCATAAAGAATCAAATGTGGATATTTTCCGATCAGGAGTATTCGCCATCTGCTTTATTGTTCCAAACCCCAGTGGACTGCTTGGGACATGATGTGGTGGTACTACTTATTGTCAAACCGAAAAGAATGCGCATGTATGAAAGACAGAACATTAGATGCACTTAAATGTATAAAGAGGGGAAGTAAAACACGCCTTGTTTTTGATACTGTGTCACCGATCATAAGTGGCGAGTAAGCCTCTTTTAAATTTTAACATCTCTCTTTCTTTCCTTTTCCTTTCTTCCTCTTCATTCACGCCTTTTTCCTTTTTAGCTGAATAGTTATTGTTCTTCACCTCCCACAATGAGGTCAAATCACCCGTACTCTCTCTATGGTGAGGGGCAGGAATTTACTCAAGCGCAGAATTAGAAAGATTTACCAAGTACTAATATTACCAAGGAAATATGGGAAATTATGTCACAACTCACCCTTAATTTCCGTGAATTCTATCTGTTCCCTATACTTCGGCCTTTTCGCGTGCTTGGAGCGTAGAAGGAAAAGGTGCTAAAGATTACAAAGGGCATAAACTGCTAGAATAAACCAAGGTAGGAGAGAGGTGCTGCAGATAAACTGAATTGAAGGGAGAAGGACAGCACGAAGGATTTCTGCGAAGAACAGAAGACGTCGTGCCTCAAACATGTCTCACAAAATTGTGATTGCATTCTTCCTCGTTGACGCGTGTAGGAATCGATTGGTGGCACGTGTCTCCTGTAGCCTGTTGCATGGCCAATGAACGAATTAGCAGAATGCCGCCTTCCACCGTCGTTTCAGCCTCCTCCCTCTGCACCTGTTGAGCTGCCAAAACGAAGTAAGCGAGTAAGAGTGGAAGGTTGTCAAGGCTAGTGACACTGCCAAATGGAAGGCATGTCTTTCAAAGTTATTTTGTGGCCTTACCGCCATAGCGAAAATCTTAGGGGGTTACATCAAGAAGGAAATCACAAAAGATCCGATTTAGCTAAATTAATAAATCACTTAGGCCTGGAAGAGGAATAAAGTAGGGGGAATAGAATCAATTTCCCTCACCATGCTTATAATGTGAAGAACGGTAGGGAGTTTAATGCCATCGAGATCCTTTTAAATTCCATCCTTTGCCGACAATTCTAGGCTAGTCCGTGAGAAATCCGAAAGGTCGTAGTTAGATTGTTTTCCATTTACACATATACTGCATAAAATATTGTTCAAGGACCAATTTAACCTCGGAAATTAATCAAAATTTCTGGGAGGTCCAAGTATTACCCACAGGGTGATGAGTGGATCGGCTATATTGACAGTTCTTTCGGAAAATTTTTGACCTTACAAGAAAATGACCAAAAATTTTATTTACCCATTTCATTAAAATAAGTTGGATATGATTGAATTTGGCAAAAATGCTTCTTGTTCAACTGGCAAATGACTACTCGTTATAACAATTGATTCAGAAATTTATTTTTCACAACGAAAACTTTGCATTTTTAAAGAGTTGACTCGCCTTTTAGAATTTTACTTAGGACGCATGTGTTTTGAACACTGTTGAGTGGGTTTTATGCCAGATTAAGTCGGTGTTGTAGGCTGTGCTCATTAAAGTCGGCCAACCATTCAGTCATGGAAGGAGGTAAGTAGGATGGTTGGCATGATATAATGATGTCTTCAGATGAGCATGAGGATTCCATGCCATTGCCAGAGGAGCATGGGCAAGTTAACGTGGAAGAGGAGGCTCGAGTAGAATCAGTGCAGGATACACCAAGTGAAGCATTACGCCGTGTTGATGGAAGAGGAGGGGCAACCGCTGCTTTATTCCGTCCTGGTCAAAGCGATCCTTCTAATTATACCCCCGGAACATTATCCACTAGACGAGCCCCACCTGTTGAGGCACTGAATGATCTGCTAGTCCGGATTAACTTTCCATTACTGGAAAACAATATTGAGGGCATTGCTTACGCAGCAGTAGTGGTACAATACAGTGAAATGGACGATACAACACAGCCTAGTTATTTGCCATCTAGTACTACAGGTGCGTGTACTTTGGGAGATATATTGGGGGGTAAGTCGAAATTTTTAGGTAGATAGCTAACAGAACAGTAGGAAATTTTTCGTTTTCCCTACCAGCAATCCTTGGTGGCTTTTGCATGAACCTTTAAGCCATGCACATATAACCTCACATTGAAAGAGGAATCGCTATCACCATTGCTGTTGACAGGTATTCCAATGTCGTGGCTACCAAGTGTACTACCTCCTTATCAAAACCAATTCTGCGTCTATGTATGGAACCTTCCGCAGCAATTGGAGCATTCAGAACTCATAACCTTATTCGAGCCTTTCGGACTGATCGCAGAAGCCTTTATGGAGTACAACTTGGCACACACTGATAACCGGCGTCATGGTATTTCATCATTACCCATTGCAATCTGAAGGCTTCATACACTTATTTAATTACTGTCTTATCTTGCAGCATTCATACGCTATTATGACTTTGTAAGTGGAAAGGCAGCTGTTGTAAATATGAATGGTCGTGTGATACACGGCTGCAGACTGGCAGTAATGCGTGAGTTAAAAGCTTTTAATTTTCTCCTATTTTACTGTCATGCAAAGGGACACAAGGTGACTTCATAATGAATTCAGTCTATTATTCATTCCAGAGGCAGATATAAAGCATGGCGCCATTGAAATCGCCCGTCACCTATTGTTCCTGCCAACTTCCTTTACTTAGTTCTCAAGCCTTTAGCACCAGTATCTATACATCATTTGATGTTCTCCCTCTTTACCCTCTGTGAAGAATAAACAAAACCTTTAAGTCCCAGTGGCTCTTTCCATTTTGTCCTCCTAACATTTGTGGGTGTGTGTGTGCAAATCTACGCATTTCCAATCGCAAATGGACCGTGCATCAAGCTATTACGCGTATAATCAGGATCCTCTCTTATAGCGGTCACGTTATTGGCAAACCTACATAATAACTGCTATACAAAGGACTACTTCGAAGGCAGACCTGAACGTCTTTATCCCTCACTAAAATGTCCTAGGTATTTTTCTCAAAATACCTCAACGAATGCTGATACTGAAACACGCAGTTCTTTTGTTTGGACAGTCTAGAAAACACCTTGAGGCGTTTGAAAACTGTACCAACTTTATTTATATATCTGAAAATCTTGAAATAGTAATCTAAAATGGCCCTTACCGCAGTAATCAGTTCTAAATATTCTCATGCTTAGCATCAAAAACCCACTTAAAATGCCAGTTGTGGCTTAATATCTTAACGGTCACCTACATCACTCCACAACAAAATCAGTATGCATGCAGGAAGAATTCAACAAAAGCATGTGCAGGCTAAATTATTGCACAACAGGGGCTTCTTTTGATCAAGTACATTGCACAAACTTTATTTGTAACTGAGAATTCCTAATAAATAGCTTGTGTTTTAACATTTCAATGGTATTTACCAACATATACTTTAAAATACTGCAAAATCTACTATTGGGGTTGTTATCAGATAGGATTGCTACAGCATCCATGTTAAGTGGTTCTATAACTGGGTGTTTAAGGTGCATAGTTCTCGTTTAACATTAAAAAGCAACGCAAAAGCCTTCCGCTTTGCAATTATTCTAATGCCGGTGTTTGTGATGTCAGTTTTTGCAGTCAGCTCAAAAATGAGTATGGAATTTTAACAAGCTAAAGAGCATTTTTGACCCAAATATATCGAAAAGGATGATAATAATTACGCCAGGATTGACCTCCAATCTAATCATTCTTGCAGCAGGGGAGATGGCATGGAGCCAGT